AAACGGGCATTAATGTTTCTTTTGCATGTGAATCACGCCGCAAAGGGTATCCTCGAGCTTGAGGATCGGATGGCCAAATGCGAAACGCGAATGAGTCTGTAAAATACGTTCTCGTGCGTATCGTCGTAAACAGAAAAGCTTAAAAGATGCTATGTCCACAAATGCCATTCTTTATTTTCTTTGCAGTATAAATATAATGCATATTATTAAAAAAACATAATATAATTTAAGTAGTTGTATTTCGAATGCAAGAGCTGCGATATTTGGAATTACTTCTTTTATTCTTCATTTAAAAACTTTAATACGCCAGAAGTTTACAAGAATCATTTTTATTATCGCTCGATATAAAGTTCGTGGCAGTAACACGTAAGATGAGAAATGAGATCATTCGTAATATCTGATCTATCGAGATACCAATGTATTTCTTACTCGGCAGCGAATCACCGCCAAGACTCCGTGGCGCAACGGTAGCGCGTCTGACTCCAGATCAGAAGGTTGCGTGTTCAAATCACGTCGGGGTCAATCGTTAATTTTTGTCAACGTCTTGTGTAACTTGTTGTTTTTACGCGACCGCCATTTTTATTGCCTTTTGTTGCAACAACGCCGTTCAATGACGCAAAAGCGCATCCTTATATCGCGAATACCGAATTGGATAATATTAAATATTTTGGATCTGAAAATACGATTAGTATCGAGTCAATTGCTGTATATAATGTAATATATATTTATATATATATAATAATAATAATGAAATTAATACTCGATGTGTGTTGAAATATTTGTGCTACATGGTATCTGAATTTCTAGCAAGTAGGTACGCGTAGCAGTCGTGGCCGAGTGGTTAAGGCGTCTGACTAGAAATCAGATTCCCTCTGGGAGCGTAGGTTCGAGTCCTACCGACTGCGTGAATAATGGGGAAAACACTATTTTTGCTACTGAATATTCTTTTTTCTTGCAAAATGGAAGTCAGTGGAATTATTATTTTTTTTTCGTTAATGATTGTCAGTGCGGAATAACGATTCAATTTTTATTGGCTTGTAACATCCGTTATTGATACGATGAATTATGATAACGTAATTGAATGAAAATTTTTAATTATTTTTATATGTTTTGCACAGTTACATAAACGTTTAATGTGTATACTTATTATTATATAGCTATTTATTGTAATTTAATAGATGTCATATATTTTGAAATCACAACTAAAAATTCCTCGATAGTATAGTGGTTAGTATCCCCGCCTGTCACGCGGGAGACCGGGGTTCGATTCCCCGTCGGGGAGATCTCTTTTGTTTTATTTTTTCTTTCATTCCCGATCCAAAGATGCAGTCGAAACAAAGTGTCTTGTGCCAAATATATCCAGCATAAGGATACTTTAAATATAAATAAACATAGGAAAGAAAGTGTTACTTCTGTTCAGATTACGCGCGCTTATTATTGTGTGAAATTTTTAATTTGATTTTAATTCCTTCATTTATAATTGCAATCCTCTTCTGTTTAACTTCTTTCAGAGACTCTGTACTTATGTATTTATCAATCGTAAATTATACAGTTAACAGAATAAGTAATTTGCGATCTGAATTATGTTCTGATTAATAATATAATATAATACAGAGGTAATCGCTGCAGTATGAAATTTAAACGTCACAATTGAAGGTACTTGTGGAGTTAATAAGTCAAAAAAGAATTCGTAGGCGCCGTGGCTTAGTTGGTTAAAGCGCCTGTCTAGTAAACAGGAGATCGGGGGTTCGAATCCCCCCGGGGCCTTGCAAAGTTAATTTTTTTCATCCGAGATAACAATATGTTTGTATAAGTGATTAATAATGCGCTAGAATACCTAGAATGCCTAGAATACCATATTTATTTAAGAGCTTATTGAGCGAGACACATCTATTATAAATTTTATTTTACTAATCATTTATATAACAAAATAGCTCTAATTATACGACTTTTAAATATTATATTTAATATAATTTAATATACAAAGTACTGGAAAATACGTATATGTAGTTATTTATATGATTTTTTTATAATAAATAGATATGCATGTATGTGTTTCGTATTTGAGAAATTATATGAACAGAAATTGTTTTTGTTATAAGCGCTGTACTGTTGCTGTAATATTCGGGATCAGAAGTCGAACTTGTATCCGTTTCCAGAGACTTTCACGCGCGCGACCGATGGGGCGGATGAATAAGCGATACCCAGCAAATTTTGCGATCGTTCCGTTTGATGTTTCTGCTGCAACTGAGCCTGAGCCTCAGGCACCTGTGCACAATTACTATTAACAGAAATCATATTTAACAATCAAAGTTTAATAACCACTATATATGAGAATTATTATCTCTTACTACACTAAGAAAAAAATGTACTAAATTTTAATAAATACTTAATTAAATAGTGTCAACTAAACATTTACTTACAGCAAATAAATATTTACTTAACAAAAAAATTATTAAATCCAATTAATGATTCTCGTACTAAATAAATATATCTATATTTAGTAAATATTTAGTCAGTACTATTCAAACAAATGACTTATTATAATTTATTAGTATATTTTATTTCAGTTTAGAATGTTTAGATAATTCGACGGCACGTCGATGAAATAAGATGCGATATACGAATATTGTCGGCAAGCATAAACTGTATCGTCACAAAAAATATCACATACAAAAATATACCTTAAAATATGCGTATGTGTGTGTTCTTCGAAAACTTAAGGCCTCATATATCATAAATGCATCGTTTAAATTTTCACATTTGCATATGATGGAACCTACCTGTTCCAATGGAATCGCGTGCAGCTGTCCTTGTTGAGCCTGTGCCAATTGTGCCTGACGAAGGGCGAGTAATTGCGCCAATTGCGATTGATAAATTGCTGCGTTCGGCTGATACCCTTGCAGGTACGCTTGCTGAGGCTGCTGCAATTGCTGGGCGTACGTTAATGCGACCGCGGGATCCGTTTGGGGTTGATACACCAACGATCCGGGCACAAAATTCGGAAGGATCCCGCTCGCAGCGGGACCGAGTGCGTAATATCCTGACGTAATAACGTTTGAAAGATATATTATTAAATTGAATTCATTCAATCTCCCTTTAGATGATATGCTTTTCAACTTTTGTGTGTTGCGTGTCTTGCAGTATGAAAGTATAGATGAGATACTTATGACTGTGAGTCATATATATGTACATGGATGTTATTTAATGATACTTCCTTTGTTAAATATTGGCAAAGAGGAATAAAGGAAAAAATTCAAGATCTTTCAACTTGTTTTTCACTAAGGAATCACTAATTAATATCGCTGTGATTGGATGTGAATTATAAAATAGAAAAATACTTAGAGTAATAAAAAAAGACTTTGAATATTGTTTATTAATTGTAAGCACGAACCTAAACCAGGATTTCTTTGGGCGAGGGCTTGTGCAATACTCGGCTGAACCTTTTGTATTAGCTGAGGATTGCCGATGCTGGAGGCGAATGATTGATGAGAGCTGGGCCCAGCGAATGCAAATGACGTTTGCGTTAATCCCGGTCGGACGAAACTGAAGGAGGTATGTTGCTCTGAACTTCCTATTACGTTTGTCGGCTTCACCCCAACTTGAATCGGTGGCTCGGCCGTGCCGAGACAATACATCGCACTTAAGACAATCGCGTATTTCTGCAATTTGTAATTTTTCAAATCAGTCAGAGGAAAATGCGATATTTAATTAGCGTAATGTAGTGAGTTTCTGAAAGATGATATCTATACTTATGTAATAAATATTTTTAAAGAAAGGACATTATAACAAAAATACGCTAATAATTATAATAAAAATTAAATATTATTCTTATAATTTAATATATATATATATAATTATAATAACAGTTTTAAAAGTAATTGTCAATTACTATTACAAAAATTATCGTTATCTAATAATGTTATGTTATAATTACTTTCTATAAAAAAATTACCGTACAGAATCAATATTTACATAAATATTATTCATTTACATAAATATTATTCATTTACATATTTCTCGAAAATTTTGAATTTGGATCCGATATATACATTTTACTTTAATAATTCATTTTTCTAATTCGTTATCGATATGTTAAAAAGTTTGTATTTTCGAAAGCTTTTTGGACATTTTTGTTTTGTGTCCACGTGAAATTTTTTTAACTTTTAAAGCACATTCTCAAAATTTTATCTTTCAACAAAACATTCCGTTACACTTGAAAAATGAGACACGAAAAGTATGTGTTCTGTTCGCCTCACTCACCAACATTATGAAAAATCGCGCGATCTATCTTGTAACGTACAATAAAGAGGAACAGTATTATCGCTGGCAAAAATCACGACGGTATTACGGCGCGATGAAACTTCATGGGGAGCTATATACCACGGAAACGGCTGGTGCGAAACGTGAGATGCATCCGATCGACATCATTTCATCGAGACACTTTCTCCGGGATATAAAATGTCGAACAATCCATGAATCGTAATCAGACGACGCGTAATAGTTTGCTTAAAATATGACTGACGAAAGCCATGGAATGACAAGGTTCTCGCAACCAGTGGTATCATCTATTTTTAACGGCAGAAAAAAATGAGTATTTGTTACATTAAGACCGCAAACAAAATAATTTCTTCCAAGATCAAGATCGCTGATAACAGAGAAAGTCACTTTCGAAATGCTTAATGCAACAATAGTGTGGGCGTATGGTGAGTATTAATTGCGATGTGATGAACGATTATAGAATTTCAAGTATCTAATCGGTGATTTTATTTCTATCATAGCAAATATTTATTTTATACTGCGAATATATAAGATATCTTTTCAATAACATATTTTAGATTATAATCTTCAATCATATATTTGATGAAAATAACAAACGATTGCAAATATTCAACATTTCAATTTAATTCTATTTTATTTGCATATTATGTAAATACACGTTACACATTATTATACCATAATCATGTTTTTAATACGATTATAGTTTTGATTAAGTCCCAAAATGTCTTTATTTACAATACAACTGTAGTACTATTGTTTATTGCCATATGCATTACAAAATCTTACATTATCAATAGCCATTATCTTAATTATTTGGCGATAGATGTTAAAATAGATAATCTGAAAATATGTATCTCAATGAACAACGTTATATGCCTAATTAATGAATGGCTGATCGGTGAATTAATGAAAATTTGTGCGATATGACGTTTGGATTTTTTGTCACCAACACAAATCATTTCACATGTTCGAGAAGTACGACTGATAAAACATGCCCATGGCACTGGTCGATAATAATGCGAAGCAACTCCACCACGTCGCTAGTCCTAAGACGCCTTTGTACACATCTGTGGTAAATATCTGTAATAAACAAGACATTTTCTTTGTACCATTGCTTAAAAGCGTCAGCTTCTGTGATAAAATTTAATATTTTAACGAATATCTAAAGATATTACTTGTTTCAATGAACCCAACGCGAGTTGAACTTCTTCAGCAGTTTGTATAACAGTCTTGTCAATATTATCAATATTAACTGTAGATGATAGTGATTTCGGTAATTCATCCGCTGGGCATTCTTCCTCCAACGTTCCTTTTAAGATGCCTTCCCAGGTAAAACCACCTGATATAACAATAAAAATATATGTATATATTTTGTAAATAAACTATATATTTTACAATACTTTTCATACCAAGTGTTTTGTACAAAAACGTAAAAAATAAACATATAATTATGGGAACAACAAATTGAAGCGCCACTACACATAGATAATAATATACAGCTGCAATCTGCAACAATAAAGGAAATTTGTTTCATTATTCGACAAAAACACAAAGTTTTCAGTTAAGATAATTAAGTATATAATTTCATAATATTATGACACAAACCTTTTTTTGCAAATCAACATTAGTTATTCGGCCAGCTTCTTTCTTTTGAATCTCTAATCTCTGAATGGCGAGATTTAAATAAGATTGTAGATATATCGGCATGAGTACAATTTTTAATAAACTGGCAACAACAATAATAATCAATCTCAAACTTTCAAACTTTGCTACTGTCATTCTGTAATAAAAAATTTTTCAATTTTTTCCAATTTATTTAGATATTAAATTGTTATTTTCTCGCAACATCAACTTACAATGGAGCAGTCATGCCACTGAATATTCGAACAGTCAAATAATCCCTACTTATAGGTGTAATCCATAGGCTTACCAACAAAAGTGGCGAGGCATAACTAATATTTGCTATTAGCACTAATAACTTATTATCTTTATAATACCTGCAATTATTTCCATATATACTAATCAGCATTCAATATTTCAATTAAATTAATTGAGTTTATTTTACCTTAACGTATCCCAATGCATTTTTGATGCCCTTAATCCTGGGAAGGTAAACAAAGATCCCAATAAACCGCACCATATAGCAAGAAAAAACTTTAGAACAATTTTTGAGGCTGGTCCCCTATATTATCAGTAAAACAAAAACATTACTTACAATAATAGAAATAATTATTATTTAATCTTTAATATTAGATAGACTGTATTAAATTATTCTTAAAAAATGTATTTAAATTGATGAATGATAAAGACCTTTTACTGAAATATTCTTTTACTAATAATATCTTATATAACCAATGAAACATGCAACAGATTTAAAATTATTTATTCAAGTATCTAAACTTACGTCGAAGAAAGCCCTTGAGTATCTAAAAAATGAGAAGCACTATGATTGAAACTCATATATGCTTTTTCCAACCCAATTTCCAATTTATTTTCATCGATTATGAGTACCATCATAGCAATAAGAAGATATGCAAATCCAGTAACGATGCACGTGGACCTTTCACCAACACTCTCTTCACCCTTGAAATATTGTATCCAAAGGGAAAGTAATACTTTACTATAAATTATATAAGGAAGCAATAACTGTAACATGATTTTTATCCCTTGGAAAACAGGAAGTTTTACAGATTTCCTATCAAAAATTTTAATTCAAAGGATACAACGCAAAGCCCAAAACCACCACACACCATAGTATACTGAGATTAATTTCATCTTTGATTGGATATAAATAATTATACACCTGTTGAGTAGTAAAGGAGAAATTTTAGACAATATTATAAAACATGATCAATTATACAAAATATAAATACTAGTTAAAACATTGCCATTAAGAATAAATATTTTTATTTGTAGAGACAAATATTCGTATTAATTAAAGAGTAGCAATTAAAGAGCACTAACCTCTGTCAGTACATAAACAATAATAGCATACACAGAGAAGTCCAATAGCCACTGATATTCTGTATAATATTTTAAGTTCACTACATCAAGAATAGTTATTTTTGCACTTTCAAGCTTAATGTCTAGATTTCTAGGGACGTGAAACACATCTCCCACTTTGCCGTTCTCGCTGTGTTTTCCTCTCTTTGGTTTCTCTTTCGGCACACCGGCCAATGCTCTGAGTTGATGATCTGTTGGATACAGATATCGTGTCAATCTGTGCAGACAGAAAAACAGAGATGATAGATCTTATCGTTCTATTACTATCCATCATTTCTATAATTATACATGCAGATACATACCCTGTGGAACATAAGATCCATCTCGCAAAGGAAAAATGTGGACTCAACTTTTGTATGATACTAACCATTACAAGGGTGATGACCAATTGTGCTCCTAGAAGAGCCTGAAAGAAATGTCATTAAACACAAAATTAAATACAAGACATAAACATAGGTACAGAAGAGATAAGTCCAAAAGATATATTTAAAGAAATGGGAAAAGTTTAAAACAATTCTTTATAACTAGAACATGTGATTTCTGTAAGACACATGTTTTCATCGTTAAATTTACCATGTTTAATGTATCGGCAGCAGGAAATCTTATAAACAGGACCACTCCATTGGAGGCGACGAGGTATCCGAGATCTCAATTAATCCTGAAAGACGCAACAGCGAAATACGCCTGATTTGCCACGAGTAATATTTGCTCTATCATCTTAAAGGAAGTACGCCAGTCGCGAGCTGATTTTATAAATAGTTATAACTTGGCCACCGCATAATACACCGAGCACACGGAGCTGCCTCGCACGGGGCAATACGAGGTTTTATTTCAGGTTATTTCCAGTTATCCACAGTTATCACGTCGTTACAAGTTAACCGCTGCAACGAGGAACGCCGTCGACACCTAGTCAACAGGATCAGCAGTGAGCAGCATCGCGATAAAATGCGATGTATAACCGTGCGCCGATCATGTGCTCATATGATTATTCATAGGTTCGTAGATTTTTTATTATTTTATGCATGATTATTTTTCATTTTTATTTTTTATATGATTATTCATTAATTTTTTATTTTTCGATGTTTTTAAAAATTTACATAAACGTTCAAACGTTTCGGACCATCAATGAATAATGCATCTGCAAGTTGAATCGACTTATCGATTGTTTTTCAAGTTCAAATTAGAAATCAAAATATTCACTGAGAATGGTCGGAAGAGAACCTGAAATGTTTATTGGATGTTTATGTAAATTTTGAATATATATGATATATTTATGATTTAATTTGCATTCCACCGTGCTTGATTTTTATTTATCGCGCCTATGTTTTCTTTCGAATTTTTGAATATTGAGAGTTCTTCGATTATTATATATTTTATTATAATAATAATTTAATAACATGATAATAAAAATTAATAATAATTACAATCTAATATATGTATAATTATTATCAAGATATATCTATATAACTAATTATGAACTTCTTATAGCTTGGTGTAACAATTAAGTAAAAACCGGAAATTATGATAGATGTAGAAAGTTATTATATCATGTAATTAATTAATTTGGTGATTAATCCAAATTCGATCTATTTTACAAACGTTACTTTTAATGAACATTATTTAAATAATATTATGTATAGTAAATTGTTAATTATTACTATTAAATAAAATATATGTATAATGTAATTAAATAAAAATATATGTTATATTTAATAATAATAATAAGTGATTTATGTATCTAATATATAATAAATTACTTATTATTAATATTAAATATAACATATATTTATTTAATTACATTAATCATATATTTCATTCAGTACTAATAATTAATATGTAGTGTTTCATCAAGATCAAGAAATTCAAGAAATCTTGTCTTGGTTTTGTCTTGAATCAAGACCAAAACAAGAAATTGGAAATTGGTTTCAAGACAAAACAAGAAATTGTTATCAAGACCAAGATTTCTTGACAATAAGTCAAGAAATTTCAAAAAATTTTTTTCTAACCAAATTAAATTATATTCACCGATACATCCTTGTTGTACCAGATATTAACATTTATATTTATGTAAAAAAATATATATAAAATGAATATTGCGAGATTACTGGCAAAAGTATACTACGTATAAACATTTGTGTACTTCTATTAATAGTATTAATTAAATCAGGAATGATTAAAATATATAGTAATTATAATAATAATAAATATAATAATAATAATTATATCTAATAATCTCAGGAATCTAATAATCTGAAATAGTTATATTTGGCAGTAACCTCATGATATTAAAAATGATAATTTGAGAAATGTTTTTAATCTCTATTAATAGATTTGTGCATAATGAACATTATAGACACACTTTTAAACCATGAATTTAAACATAGTAAACTACGAGACTTCTAAACTATTTTCTAAATTTACAGGAAAAATACATAAATTCTTTTTATTCCCGGTTCAGACATGTCCTGGAAATCTCACTAGTAGATTTAGCAATCCTAGACGCGACGTAGTCAAAGAACCACAAGGGCCCTGCTTAAAAAATTAAGAAATTTCAAGAAATTCAAGATTTTTGAATTCAAGACAAGAAATACAATATCAAGAAATGGCCAAGACAAGAAAAACGAAATTTCTTATCTTGAAAATCAAGACAAGAAATGCACTTCAAGATAAGAAATCTTGTCTTGATGAAACACTATTAATATGTGTTAAATTTTTGTCACGTTTTTATACATAGATATATATGTGAGTTTTAACTCATCATCAGCCGACATATAAATATATGCTCGTTTGCAGTTATAATAATCTTGCATCTAGGTATACGTAATTACACAGGTCGTGATAAACGCTGACGCTCGTGTAAGTGTTTTGCAATGTAGGATATGCATATATACCCCGCAGCTGGTCTTTCTTCTATAATTATTATTGCCTGCAGATATAGACAATAGCAGAAAACGATGTATTACGTAGTTGCACATTAGTTTTCCAATGCTCGGACTGTAAACCAAGAATTATACAGAATCGAAAAAATGTTCAAAATGTATAATAGTTATATAATTACAGTATGATAAATAAATTTTCGTTGCGGCAAATCGACGTACAAAAAGACAGCATGATTTGGAGAGACAGAAATTTTACGCGTGATTAAGAAACTGATGTTAAAAAGTCACAATAAGGTAATTTAAATGTTAGATAATTTGTCTTGAAGAAAAGATGCGCAGATATCTTTGAAATTTCCCAGAAATCATTTTCCCCACATTGGCGAACTTATTAATTTGCATTCTGGAAACTTCGAATCCTCGATTGCGTAACGATATACGCATCGGCGTGTGACCCACTAATGTCTTTGAGCATTTCAATTAGTCTAATATATTGTTCATTGTCAAGTACATCTAATCTATATTAAGAGTGTGATTCACACACACGCAAATGGATGTAGGTACATAATAGAATTATAGAAGTTCGTGGTTACATTCTACAAACGAGAGAAAAAATAGGAAGATTTATTTATTAATAACATAAATAAATGGCATAATTATATTAACAATAAAATCAATTTTATTCATCATACAAACATGTAATTACAGGCAACAATATTGTATTTCCAGGTGTCTTCCATTTAGTGACACAAGTCGACACAAATATCGTCTTATCTTTTTTTGCATTCCATGAGTAACAATAACAAAACGATACTTGTGTCGACACACTAAAAGGCACTCATTATAACTAAAACAATATATAGTCATCACATAACTTCTGACAGTTTTTAAAAGTTATTACAAATAAAATAGAAAAAGTACATTGTTCAACTCATCTCCAGTAGCCTGTTAAATAATTTCTTAAGAATGCAAATCACTTGAATAAATATGCGGTTAAATGCAGAAAGGATGCATAAAAAGAAATTTCTCACCCATAAAAAAAGTAAATACTATAAATAAGGATATTTCATGTATATTTATATCTTCATTAATTTGTTAACAAACAACGGAATTTCTAATAATTCCTAATAGGGAGAAAATTAAAAAAAAGTGTTGATTGATTAAACAGCACTTAAGGAAGATTTATTTTACAGGAAGGATTAAGCCTATTACTAACTCTTTACACACACACACACACACACGCGCGCACACACACACACACACACGCGCGCACACACACACACACACACGCGCGCACACACACACACACACACGCGCGCACACACACACACACACACGCGCGCACACACACACACACACACGCGCGCACACACACACACACACACGCGCGCACACACACACACACACACGCGCGCACACACACACACACACACACGTGTGTATTTTATTATCTTTCTTTTTTTCTTTCAATAAACTGTCTCTCTCTCTCTATCGCTATTTTATTATAAAACATGCAGATTGTATCTTAATATAATCATCAGGCTAGTCATCAAATGTGTGACTTTTCATAACTAATAAAAATCTCTCAGGGACTATTAAAAATGCAATTTTCAAGCTTCCAAAAGTAAGGATAGTTTCTCAGTCAACAAGCGGTCGCTCTAAAAAAATCGCTTCATTCGGCGACTGTTCCTGATCGGACATCTCGCACACGGAAACACGTCCTTTTACGCCATCAGAACGCGAAGAGAACGCAGCGGTATAAAACGATGCGTTCATCAGTTCGCGCGATCATACGTCGAGCAGTGTGCGGCAAGCAGTGGACCACGATTCATAACGACAGGTTCGTAATATGTCCGTGTCTATTGTTTTCGCACAAGGAGACTCGTAGGCGGCGGCGGCTTGTCTTTTTACGCACGATGACGTATGCGGCGCGATCGAAAATTCACGGCCGATTTTCGCGAAAATTCCGCGAGGAAGTCCTGCGGGAGAAATATTTCATCTAATACAGGACTAATTATAATTCTTATAATATTTCTGTCGTTATTTGTTCATTAAAAGTTTTTAATTGGGCGTTTGTAGATTTACCCATACCTCATGAACGAATCAACAATTCAACCAAGAATCTTTAAGCAAAGATTATTACCCCTCGTTTTTTATTATTTACACATATAACAATTATCCCTTTTATTTAATAATAAATTAATTTTTTTATTTTTACTTTATAATAAATAATTATCATAAATAATATATGCGTAATAAAATAAAAATATTTGTAATAAAATAAAAATTTTTGAATATATATAATGTTTTCCGGTTTGGAATTATTTCATGGAATTATTTCGTTATGCAATTTTTCATTTTTTCTAGAGATTATTAAATCTAATCAAACAATTATGTCGCCGATGTCGAGTGTAGTCATACTCATCACTTCAATTGTGACTTTTCCAAATATCGATCCTGTGACTTCTTCCTCTCTGACCGTTCCAAACTGTACGACCAATACGGACTGCGAACCCAATTTATGCTGCTTGCTAGGTTTGTCTCTCTTTTCCTTTGTTTACATTAAAATTCAAGTGCCCTGAAAAAAGTGCCTCTTTACATCAAAAAAATATTTTTCTAGATTAATATATGTATATGTATAAAATAATAATATTTAAAACATTGTAATAACGAAGGAACATAAATAAACTAGATACATATTTTCGGTTAAAGAAGTACACTTCGAACTCTTGACAGGTGCATTGAATATTATTGATTCCTTTTAGGGCCTTCAAGATATTCAATACCGGCTTGCATGCCGTTCCAACAAGAAGGTGAACAATGCCGAGTAAACGCTAAAACTATCACGACCAATTTGTCTTATCCGGACAATACGCAAATTGAAGTTAAAGATATTCACTTCATCCTGTGTGCTTGTGCGGACGGATTGTCCTGTGATCCAAAAGACGGCATCTGCAAAGATTAGAATTTTCTGTCAATCAAAGTGATCGGAAACGTCATGATCATCATGATTATATGGAGCCAAATATTTCGAGGAAAGAAACAAGTAACATTGAGGAAGTATTTTCAATTGCATGTTGACCTTAATAGTAGACCGAAAACATTCACGAGAAATTAAAACTCGAATTAAATCGTTGTTAGTTATTATTCTATTTATTATATTATTATATTATTTTATTCCGTTATTATATTTTTACTTTTTAAATATTATTTAGATAAAAAATGCTAATTAGTGGTCATATGTAAATAATAATTTGAGATAAAATAAAAATAGAGTTTTATATTCCTAATTAACATTAATTTATAAAAAATATCAAATTGCATACAATATTTTTAAAAACGTTCTTATTTTATAACAGATTAAAAAAAATTGTTATAATAGAACAATCTGGGACAAAATTAATTATTACCTTCAATTTGTAAAGAAAAGTCTTTTGTCTCAATATAGGAAATTAACAATCTAATTCGTAAAAAAAATTGGAAATAACATTAACCTTGTTAATTTAACTATTACTTTAAATTCTTGTAGTAACGATTTGATTGAGAAGATCCATTAGCTGAAATATTGTCCCACAGATTACATGATTTTATTTGATTTCATACAATTTCATCTCATTACAAATAATTTTCTTCACTACATATGAAGTCATTTGGTAAAATAAACGATTTTATCTAATAATACACAATGATTTCTCGTGGTTGCATATGTAATTATCGGATTATACATAGGGATTTCATATAAATTTTATAATGATTTCGGGGACTCTGTACCACGATTACATAAAGCGATTACTTTCTCGGATTTGATAATGCAATTCTTTATGACTTAATAATAAATGTAACTAATCGCTAAGGTTGTGCTAAAGTTTTGAAAAGTAACGTGTTATTATCACGCGCTTATAATTACTAAAAAAAGTAATTTATAACAAGTTACGTTACAAGCAGGGTTGGTAAAAGAAACATATTTTAAACGTGTTTTAAATAGTTTAAAACATGCTTAATCGATATTTTTAATATGTTTTAAATATGGTTTTTTATAGCTTAAAGCATATTTGAAGCATTAAAAATATATTTAAGAAGAGACACAATATGTTTTATTCTTAAAAAAAAAAACATTAGTCTTTACCAATCCTGGTTACAAGTATCCAGATAGCACTAAATATTTATGATAAATATTTATTACTATTCATTTTTAAAAATATTATATAAACATTTTATATAAAACACACACACACACACACACTTTATTCTATTATTAGAAATATTATTAAAATATAGACTAAATTCACCACATATTTTATGTAATATTTATGTAATATTTATGATAAATATAAACACATATATATATTTCTAATAAGTATTTTTTACTTTATTAATGTCTTATTAAGTATATTTTCGTAGCATTTACTACATTTTACACTCAATATTTTATAATATTTATAATAAATTCCTTCTTGAAGAAAAAAATAACTTCCTTTTTATTCCAAATCTATTCCAAACATATTTTCCAAACTATGAAAGTATACAATAATAATTGTTTTCAAAGAATAAGAAATCTTTAAATTGCGCCATTTGATCTAGCGGCGCCAAGTTTTTTTATATTAAAATTCTATATTAAATTTTTTATATTAAAATTTTATATTAAATCATGACAACGCTTGCGCAGTTGTTATTTAGTAATAATAATACGAGTACAATGAAAAACTATACAAAATCCGGACCGCTTCGAAAAACCCGCCCGGACGCTCTCCGATGCCTTCAAACTAGGACAAATCCGGGAAAATCCGAATGGAGGCCCAAGATATAACGTCAAAATGCTCATCGATGATGTTAATCGTCTGTGACATTCAAGCGTCAATTTGACTTCATTTTAAGACGTCAATATAATAATCAATAAAGGCCCAAAATATGACGTCAAAATGACAAACTTTGCTACCTGGGAAGTGACTTTCTCTAACATCTGTTACAAGTAATGGTCAACTTTCCAACATTGATTTTATATCGTGTTAGAGTATCTAAAAAAAATTCGTCTTTCATTATCAAATCGTTATTATAACAAAGTAACTATAAGAAAAGTAAGAACTTCGAAACAGAAAGAAATTTATAAATTTTACGGTTCGAAACAAAGAAATTTATAAATTTTATATACGATATTCTGTGACAATTCGAATAAGTGGAAAAACTAGTAATTATATATAATAACGAGTATATAATTATTCACTTTACTTATGCAAAGTGATTTTACGAATAAAAACACATACGAACATAATAAAATTTATATACATTTACATATATATATATATATATATACAATTAATATGTATTGAATAAGATGAAATATAATGTAAATATTACATTCGAAAAAAGTGATGTATTATACACATAAGAATACAACTAATGCGAAATCGAAGCTTTAAAAAGATTATATATACAAATTTAAAAAAAAACCTGCAAATAATTTATCTGAAACATTAATAAAATAGATTAAAATTTTTCGAGTAAGAACTCAACCGTCATTCTTAAATTATGATGAGTTTTTCAAAATTTTTCAAAACATTGCATTGTGAAAAGCGCAAAATATAATATATTCCTTCAAATGACGATGCGAAAGCTACTTGCTTTAATCTAACCTATGTTATCGGTTAAGAAATTTTATATATCTGATTTTATAGTACATAGTCATTGTATGCAACATGGTATAGATGGCGAGAATGGTCTAACAGCTGATGCTGATGCCACATAAATATACCCTTGGTAGCGTCAGTGATAATCGGATCGGGTGTTCTTAAAGAGCATAATATAACTTTTTTTAATTATACATAAATTAGAACGTTTAATAAAAAAGAGAAATTACACGGAAAGGCTTGGTCGAGAAAAATGTTTAGCACCAAGTCCTTCGACGTTGTGAGCTTCAATTCAGAATTGTCTACTGCGAGGTGAGCTGTAATTCTAATTATTGTAAAATTTATTATTATGTATATATAAATAATCCTTTGTTCTAATTAATAACGCAACCATATCATTCTTTACTAGATTGGAAACGTCCGCAAATGTTCAAACAACAGAGATAGTATATTCCGCTGATGAAACGCAGACCACAGAGACAAGAAGTATTGGGGTATGTTATTAAGATTTTATTTGAATTCCAAAATTTTTAGATAATTCTATTTGCGCTTAGCAAGCCAAAGTGACTTCTTGAAAAAAACGTGTAAATTGCGTTTAAAACATCAATAAGCTGTAACAGCCTCTTTGTATCTACACCTTGTGTTTGATTTTTATAGGCTTAGTTTCACTTGACGCTCACAATGCTCTTGGAATAATTTCATTTTTGTTTATCAGTATTAAACAAAGATAAATAATGCTTGCAAGCATTGTAAGTGCCAAGTAGAATGCAAGATGTCTAAAATTAACACTGTACCTAAATATCTTTTTTTTTGTTATTTTATTTCATTACATTAATTTTTATTAATTTCAGATCCAAACAGTGAATGGACAAAAAACAGATGTACAAGTGGATTATGATAAACTGGCCAAGTTTCTGAAAAAAGTCACGCCGGGGATCCTAGAAACTCTTGATGAAGCTTATGCTACAAATGCTTTTGACGACTATAATCCAAATGTAACCGAAACATCATCTGCTAATATAGAGTTATTAAAAAAAATAAGCACACCGAAGGAACCAGACACTCAGGTACATCTTTTTAATAAAATTATACAATTCGTATAAGAAATTAAATGATTAAATACTTTTTAGATTAAAATAAGTGACTTATCTTGGAGCACCGTTGGCGGAACGTTAGCAGTAGGCCTCAGTCATACTTATCACGAAGCATGGTGCGATCATCTTTCTACAATCCAGTTATACAATCTCACAGCGGAAGATAATGTTACGGACGTGCCTATCAGAACGTTAGAGACGAATGGATGTGTTACAACGCTGTGTTATCATCCAACGGAACCCTCTATCCTCGCAGCCGGATTGTCTAATTGTAAATTTCTTTAACCCACCGACAACATGATTTTTTAACTCTTCTGTCAACAATAGAAGTCGAGAAATTGAGCAAATTTTTTGCATTCCTATTGTCAAGGCTTTAACGAGTTTTACCATTGTAGAAGTCGGATTTTAATTTACTTAAATTTAGAAAATATTGATAGTACTTTTCAGGATTCCAACTATCGGCAACAGGGTTAATTCCAATTAACAGCAATATTAACAAAATTTACATCTAGCTATATTTGACAAATGTTTGTATGATTTTTTAAGGGGATGTATTGATCTGGAATCTCAGGAACGATGATTCCGTTGTACCCATGCACGTATGCACGCATGGCGACTGCGTGTCCCAAGTATGCTGGAGACCAAGATCCGTCAACGACGTAACTCTATTGTTGAGTTCCAGCAGAGATGGATACATATTGATTCACAAATTGACGGCTAACTTTACAACTGTTCAGTTACACAAACGGTGCGTACTGCTGGCTGTTTAACCGATTATCTCAATTACGTGCAATCCCGTTTATGCAATCTCTGTCGCATTACAGATTCAAAATAGTCAAGGAACGTAATCCGGTGGAAAATGCTAGGCCACGCAGCGCCGGAGGTAGCGAGCGCGCCGCGGAGGCAGGACTGTGCATCACAAGCTTCGACTTTTCACCGAAGCATCCTAGTATATTTATCGTTGGAACACTATGTGGTGGGATTTATAAATGTAGCTTGGACAGTATAACTCCTATCGAAGGTTCGCATCTATTAATAACAGGATAATATAATGTACGATTTTTCATTGTAAACAAGAGACTTTTATTAATTTCAGGAGACGCCACGCTTATAGATCCTATAATCGATGAATATGAAAGACACGGAGGTAGCATTACCTGCATTAAATGCTCACCGTTACGCAATCTGTTTGTCAGTAGCGCCACGGATAAGGAAATCCGTATATACAATCTTGACGAGGTAAACTTCCATATATATCATTTTAGCAGGGGATCGATTAATGCTAAGTTAAAAAGGTAAAAGTTAAGTTAAAAAGTTCATTAATATTTTAACTTAACTTAGTTATATTTTAAACTTTTCAACTTAATTTAGTTACATTTTATCGGTAACTATTAATTTTTAA